CACTTCATCTTCTCCAAACACCTCGACCCCTTCTCCCCAAAACTCCATTTTTTTTTCTACCTTCCCTCTACCATATCTCCATCATTTCTCCACCAAAACACCCACAACCCACCAAAAATCAAAATCACCTTACTCCACAAACAACAAAAGCCGAAATTGGGCACTAGGGACAGTGCTTGAACTAAGTGTGGGGGAGGAGACTCATCATGGGTATGTAATCCTATTTTCTACCTTTTACTATGCATGAACTTCTTTAAAAAAAATGAAGAAAAGAAATGCTAGTTAGGTTGAAAACCCAACAAAATGGGCAATCTAAGCAAAAAAAGGCTTGTAAAAAAACCTGAAAAGGCTCCTAGGCAAAATGAGAGATATAAGAGAAATATTTGTTTTTGCATGCACTCATTTAATCTCTTTGGAGAAAAAGAGGAAGAAGAGAAGAAAAAGAAGAAAAAAAAAGGCAAGAAGATGGAGCATAGAAGATCATTAAACCCAAGAAAGAATGTTGTTGTAAAAACTCATTTTTCCCCTTGGTGGTCTTAGTTTCCTTCTTTCTTGAACTTTTGGAAAACTCTTAAACCGGTTGGATGTGTCTGTTTTACTCGAGGTCGAGTAAAGAACTAAGTGTGGGGGAGTTGATACACTTGTAATTTCCGTGTGTATGTTTATGTTTTTAGCTAGTTTTGGTTGTTTAATATTTCGGAAATTACACACTTTTGGTGTAATAGTTTAGTTTGTTAAATTCTTGTAAATTGTTTAGATTAGGTTTATTCTGAGCTCAAACAGGTCTACTATCACTCAAAGGACGGTTGGTGAACCCCAAAAGTGGAAGGAAGGTGCAAAATCACAAGAAAAAAGGGAAGATCCTGATTTTTGGTCTATACTCGATCGAGTATCTGTATATACTCGATCGAGTATCTTGTTGAAATTTCAAATCGGATCGGATCCGAAAACAAAGGAACATGCAAGGAAAGATTTGGCCACGTTCTATTGTCATACCCGATCGAGTACACCGACATACTCGATCGGGTATACATATAAATTTCAACCCGACTTCGGTCGAGTATGGCTTAAAATTCACCATTCTACACATACTCGATCGAGTATATGTATATACTCGATCGAGTACCCGACCTGCACCTCCAAAAAAGCCTATAAATACACCTCTTTTCCTTCACTTTGAGGACACCAATTCCTTTATACTCTTAAGCTCAGTTTAGAATAGAATTTCTCTATATTTCTTTTAGCATGTTTAGTCTCCAAATGAGGAGCTAAACTTCCATTTCTTGGTTTTGCTCTTGAAGCTTGATTGATTATTAAAGTTGTGAGTTATTTTCTTACTTTCTCCTCTTGATTATTAATTCTTCCCTTAATCTCATTCTATATCATTGTTGGAGGGTGGCTAAGTGACGATTAGTTAACGTTCCGACATTGATTATTACTAGAAACGTTCAACGAACCGATGGTTAAACGTTGAAGGTTTCATAAGTAAGTAACTTCGGTTTATTAATGCACGGTCGTGGTTAATAAACTTAAGAGGGATTAATTTTGTTGGTTAAACCGAAACCGTTGTGTTGAGGTTATCAATCTCAATTGATTTCATCAAGGAGTTAAAGAGGTTAAATGCTACTATTAAATCGGTATACGGCGTTGTTCTATATTTGGTTAATAGTAAGGGTTATTAATGAACGGTCGTGGTTAATAACTACCCTCGATGAATTGGATATACTCTTCGATTGAGTATTCGAGAGGGGATAAGTTATAGATATAACAATGATCAACTAAAATATATCAACAAGTGGAAAGTAGCAAGACCAAGTCCCTTTTATTCCTGAATTTAATCCCATATAACTCGTTCATCTTCGTGTTTAATTTAATTAAATCACTCAACAAACAAAACCCCCCTTTATTTACTAGTTCATAAAAAGAGAATTATTCCTTTCCCTGTGGATACGAACTCTACTTCACCTATACTACGTATAAGTGTTAGTATCGATTTATTTTGAGTGCACTCACGACAAAGTGCACGTCAAATACCCGACCGGGTATTTGCTAATTTCGTAGCAACTCCCTTTGTCACTTCATACCCGGCCAGGTAAAGTCCATACCCGACCGGGTTTTGCATAAAACTCAGGTTTTTCCATCCTTCTTGCTTCCAAACCTATCCTAAACTTATAGCTCAACTAACAATAACTTACAACAAACAATAAAATGCTAAAAATACTATTTACAATCAAATGCAAACTAACAACTACAAACTTGCATAATACTAGTAAATAAATATTACAAACAATAATAAAAATGTACACTTTAGGCACTAACAACTAGTGCCTATCATTTATCATACATCCAACTTCTATTTTGTGTACACATTATACGTGAATATTATTATCTAAATATTATATTGATTAAAAACTCTTAATTATAACCATTAACAATAATTAGTTATATTTTATATATATTTCAAAACCAAATTGAAAGATATGCACAATAAAAACTCAACAATATTTTTGATGTTTTAATTAATTTGTAAACAATTCCAATGTACTTCACTTTTTTTATCGTCAAATCCAACAAATATATTAAATCAAAATAACGTTCGTCATAAGGTTGATAATACAATCAAAGAAAAAGAGGTAAACAAAGCGATAAAAAGCCTTATGTCTGCCGTTCGCCCTTGAACAAGACTTAGAATATATCACCTCTGTAGAAGCAATAATAATCGTTGATCCTGTAATGAGCTTAACTGAGCCAATGACTAGCAAACCAGACTTCTCATCACCTGACTTAAAATCTAGAATCTCTCTTCTAGGAAATAATAACACGTCCAAAAATACAAACAGAATAAGTCGAAATTAAAACAGAGTTCGCCTAATTTGGATTAATAATGTGTGTCAATATTTGGAAAAAGTATTAATTGCTGTGTGTTTTTTTATACGGAAATTACTTCAAATAGGACTAAAACTATGACAAAAACTCAAAATAGGACTTGCTATATATGTTGTTTATTCCAAAATAGAACCATATTGGTCCTATTGGAAACATACCTAATTCTTCTTTCCATTCTTACCCCTCCTTTAAATATGAATAAAAGATAGTCAAAAGTCATAATTAAATGTTTAATTAATAATAAATTCAAAAAAATTTCAATAATTTGTAGAAAAATAATAAAAAACTTAATAAAGTTTTTATAAAAAAATAAAAAACAAAAAAAGGAATTCATATTTTTTTTATTTTTATTTGTTTTGAAAATTAATAAAAAATAGTAAAACTCCATAAAAAAATTAAAAAATATATGGATGCCTTTCCCACCGCCTGTACTACCTCCCTGCACCACTACCTCCGATCGGTGTAAAAAATGCCACTTTTTTTAAATTCCAAAAAAAATGGCATATCACTCTTTGAGAATGCCAACATTTTCATTCTGCCAACTTGAATCCTTTTGACTTTTGCCAAAATATGGAATTCGTAATATTTTTGGCATTCCCCCCCGGTGACAGGAGGTGGTGATACCGCCTCCCTGCACCACCACCCCCGACCGTTAAAAAAATGACATATTTACTAAAAACTGCCATTTTTTCTTCTGAAATTGCCAAAAAATGTCATTTCTCTTTGAAAATGCCAACATTTTTATTCTGCTAACTTAAATCATTCTGACTTCTGCCAAAAATATGGCATTCATAATAAATTTGGCATTTTTTCCCCAAATGACTGGAGGTGGTGGTGTTGGGGTGGCAGAGGCGGGAGTGATAAATTTTTTGAATTTTCTTGAATTTTTTTAATTTATTATTAGTTAAACTATTTTTATTAATTTTTTGGTATATTTTACAAATTTTTTATTATTTTATTATTTTATTATGAATTAAAACATTCCATTAGATATAAGGGTATATTTGTCCAAGACACACATAATTAGTCCTATGGAAACATAGTTTATTATTTGGTCCTATTTGTGCAAAGTGAGTGACTTTTAGTCCTATTTTGATAGTTAACCCTTTTTTTATAACAATGGGGGATCAATCCGTTAAATCTCCTTTTTAGAACAACTCATTAATTTGGAACTAGTTTTTCAAATACTCCCTCCGTCCCATTTATATTGTCCCGTTTTATCTTTTCGAGAAGTCTCACTTAAATTGTCTCATACCATATTTGGCAAAGTTTCTGTGGCTCTAAATCATTCTTACTTTATTCTTACTTTATCAATTAATATCAACCACACAAACCTACTTTTCATAATAACCGTGTCACCTTCTTCGGTCCCAATATAAATGAGACGGAGGTAGTAACTAGTTAAAGATTAACAAATAAAGAAATGAGTTAATGCCCTAAATAGGACTAAAATAATAAGTATAAAATCACAATAGAAGAGTATAACGGTAATCCGGAGTCCTATTTAGAGAATTAAAAAAGTAAAGTCATATTTAGGGAATTAAGTTTAATTACAATTCTATATAGGACAATTAGGTTAAAGCAATGGGTCATGCTCCTCTCCATTTCCTTCTCTCCATTTACTCTCTCCATTTCTTTTTCACTCTATCTCTCTTCTCAAAAAAATAATTAAACATAATCTTTTCTTTTTCTCTGCCCCACCATATCTCCACCTCTCTCTATCTGTCTCCTAATGGAGAGGAGCAAAATTCTAAAGGGAAAATTCCCGAAATAGGTCTAAAAAAGTTTGAAAATTCCAAAATAGGACTGTCATGTTTTTATTCCCAAAATAGGACTAATTACTGCCGAATTTGGAAAATACTGCCATGTTTGAAGTCTGGTACTGCCAAACATGGAAGTAATTAGTCCTATTTTGGAAATAAAAACATGCAAGTCCTATTTTGGAATTTTCAAATTTTTTTAGTCCTATTTCGATTAATATCTCAATTCTAAATTCTAAAGACATCGTGTAAAAACCCTAGTCAAGATTTCAGAGTAAGTCATTAGGTTGAGTGAAGATATATATAAACCCTAACATGTAAACCCAGCCGGCCTATTACTCCCTCCATGGCTGCGTTGGCCATTCCTTCCAACCGTAAACGGAAAATAGAGATGGACTTCTCTGATTTCATCGCCAACCAAACGGACGCCTCCTTAATGTTTGCAAAGCACGTCTTCTTCGACGTGGTCAAAGGAGATGGCAACTTTGTTGTGTCTCCCCTCTCCATTAACATCTTGTTGGGTATGGCCGCCGCCGGCGGCTCTACCGGCGAAACACGCCACAGCCTTCTCTCCTTCCTCGAGTCCGATTCCACCACCGATTTCGATGCTTTTGCCTTCCACGTCCTCACCAATACTCTTGCTGACGCCAGTCATCTCGGCGGCCCCAGTCTGTCGGTGGCTAACGGCGTTTGGATGGAGCAAACTCTTTCTTTTAAGCCCTCTTATAAAGATATCTTGGAAAGGTCTTATGACGCTGTTTCTCAATCTGTTGACTTCCGTACAAGGTTTGTGTTTTTTTTCGCTATGTATGTGAATGGTAGTCAATAACTTTGCATTTACTTTTAGCTTTTGCAATGAATTATTTGAAAAGTGATTAATAATACAAGGCCGAAACGAACTACGAAGTACTCCGTGATTTGATGATATCGATCAAATTGACATCAGAATTCAAAGGTGTTTAAAAGAGAATGGATATTTTATTAATGGAACCAGAATTGAAAGAAGTAAGTATACAAGTTTTCGGGCTCAAGGAGCCGTAAAAACAAGAAAATAGAAAGCCTTGGCAAATTAGAGGCCCTAACATGGGGCTGCTAAACTGATAGAGTCCAAAGATGGGTCCGTTTGGGGCATAATAAATCCAAGGAATGTTATGACAATAGAACATGTATAAAACATTTATTATAATAGGTTGATCAAATTATAATTTGTAAAAGTGATGATATTCAAAAGAAAAAATTATAAGTGGTACTAGTATTGACAAAGAAAAGCGCTTTTTTTTTTGTTTGATGAAAAAATCGATAGGCAAAAAATATTCAAGTTTTAGCTTTAAAGTGATTACTTTAAGTAAGAACATATGTTAGAAAACACTTACTTCCTTCGTTATCTTTTACTTGCAACAGTCAATATTTCACGTTTGACAACGTACAAGTTTGACCATTCATATCTTTCATTCGTTTTTAGTCAAAAAAAAATTAAAAAATTCATATTTTGAAAATTTAGAATGAGAAGAATTTAAAAATATTTTTTTTTAAAATTAATTTATAATACATTAATTAATAAAATATAGTCAAAGTAGAATATGTGAATAGTGCAAAAAGTCCAATGTTGCAAGTAAAAGAGAACGGAGGTAGTATTTTATTTCTTTTGAATCTAAAAGAACAAAACACTTTTTATGCCAATGCAAAAACTCATTTAATGTCACTTGCAACGTTTTGATCTATCTAATATTCAAAATATCCTAACTTTATCATGACTGATTTTCCTGGATGTATAAGAACAAGTAATTCTATATGCTGAACATCTTATAATGTTCTTATATGCACATCTTATAATACTTAATATTTTTTTTAAGTTTGTTTCGTTTTAGAGCAACCCCAACATGTAGATAATATTAAAAAATTACACAAAATAAAGGAAAAACATAGACAGAATTGTGAGTTGTTACCATTTTTAGTCCTCTAGTTAGTCATGTAGTTGAAATGTTACGGACACTACTTTTGGTACTTGAATTATTTATGATTTTATGAGTTGAGGAGGGTTCTTCTCAGAATACTGTTGGGGCCAGGAAAATACTCCTTCACTTCGGCCAATAGGTACGTCGAGGTAAGCTGGTTCAGGTAGCCCAAAGGAATATCGAAACCCTTCAATTTGCTACGGTTGACATTTACCTAAATTAGGGATAAGAATTAAAAGAGTCTAAGAGCAAGTCAAGAGGAGAGTGAGCACATGGAGGAGAAATAGGAGGACAGTTACCATTCTTGGGGAATGAGTTTACTTCATTCCATAAATACACTTGCTCAGGCTTTATTGTAAAACACGATCAATCACGATCAACACATTCATTCCAATTATCTAATACTATACTCTGTATTCGAAAACTCCATATTGAGAAATATCTATTGCTATCATTCAATTTATTGCTTATATCGACTTGTCCATTATTGATTCTATTTTGTGAGACTCCCAGTTCAATTTAATTGTCTAATTCCGGTATAAATAATTGGCGGCGTCTATGGGAAATTCTTGCAAAGAAGAGAATCAATTATGGCCGGTAGCTCCTATTCCCTGGTGATTGAGATCCAGGTACAGTTGGAAGCCGTCCGAGAAGAGCTTCGCATGTCCAGAAATGCCGACGCAGAGCAGTTAGAAGCCGTCCGAGAAGAGCTTTACACGTCCAGAAATGCCGACGCAGCACAGTTGGAAGCTATCCGTGAGGAGATGCGTCAGTGGGTGGCTTTACTCCAAGGCGAGAACGACGCTTTAAGATCTCAGGTACAGTCGGTGGCGTCCATAGCATCTAGCTCACGAAAAGGGAAAGAGGTCATGACTGCAGCATCAAGATTAGTCATGGACTCAATACCGGTCTCAACCTCCACACTCACCTTCACAATCGTGTCTTTTCCGGAAATATTGGATTTCGATCCATATGCTAGATACTCCCTGGTGGTTTCGCAACTTGTGCCCTACGAACGTCTTGTCCCGGAAACGACTCCAGCAGCAAGCATCCCGATTTGTTTCTTCCCAGATTCGTTGCGGACCAGGCCGACGACATCTGGTTTGCAAACTGTCAACCAACAGATGTCGATTCCTATCACCATGTCGGCACCAACCGTGCTTTTCATCCCTCACTCCGGAGCTGGCTCATCAGGAGGAGTGGGGCCTTCAACTCGTCCAGTCCCACTCCCAAATTTCAGAAGGAATGTATTCCAGAGTTTATTTGCGGAACCCCAGAGACGACAAGTTCTGATCCATGTCGACATGACCAGAGGTGTCGACATCAACAATCAAAAGCGTCAGGAACCAGAGGTCATCACCATATAGTCACCGATCGGACAAAGGGAGAATCAGACGGCAACACCCCTCGGAGCAGTGGGTCCGCAGATACTAGGAGTGGGCAAAATTACCGAACCAAACCGATATGGTACCGGACCGAAAAACGGGGTTTGAAACGGATCTCAAATTTTTTATCCCGAACCGTACCGTACCGGTTCTAAACAATGCCATGACCGGTTCTTATAAAATGAGAAACGATACCGGACCGAAGTATGAATTAATTATTTAAATTTACATTTATACCATTACTTTGAGTAGTGCCTTCACACTTTCACCGCCTTTGCTAGTTCATATGAAGCGTAGGACCGGACCGATGTATAGTTTAATTATTTAAATTTGTACTATTACCTCCGTCCCAAATTGATTTGCAAAATTAACTTTTCTTGGTCAAACAGTTTCACTTTATTATTCACTTAATTAGGATGCCAATTTGTAATTATATTTAATTTGGAGTTTGCAGTTTTGAAGAAATTTAATGTACTTTGTGAATATATATAAATTTTAATTGTTAAAAATTGAATTAATTATCAATAAAACAGATTTAACTTTCACATTGGTTGACCAAAAAGTATTAACTTTGCATATCAATTTGGGACGGAGAGAGTATAAAAATTGATAAGTTATGTGGATTTTTGGAGGATGGCTAAACTTTAATTTTTTCTCCTTAAACACTTAAGCAAAAATGGCATTCTTTGGTATTGCTATGGCATGGTACCGTCCCGTTTGAAAATGGAACCGTACCGAACGGGTTTAGGTCTAAGACCGAACCGAACCAAACCGTTTGAATAGTAAAGGTACAGGTACGGGTTCGGCCAAATATTGGACCGTACCGGACCGCGCCCACCCCTAGCAAATACCAACAAACACGACAGATCCCTTGGCCATCATCATGGAAGACCTGTGGGAATTGCGGGAAAAGGTCAACGACATCCCTCAGGTTCCACGCCCGCTTGACGTAGTGACGCAAACCTGTTACGCAGATTCACCCTTCGGACGACATATTGCGGACGTCGAGATTCCAAGGAAATTCACCGCACCATCAATGAAGTTGTTCGATTGAACTTCTGATCTGATAGAACATGTCGCTCAGTATAAATAACGAATGTTGGCCATCTTTGTCAGACCCGATCAACGAGACGCCTGTATGTGCAGGGCCTTTGAGACAACATTGACAGGTCCTGCGTTGACATGGTTCGTCAATTTACCGAACGAGGGCATCAACTCGTTCGCCGAGCTGGTTAACTTGTTCACCCAGTAGTTTGCAAGTAGTCGGACCTTGGAAAAGCAAACCAGCGACTTGTATCGAGTAACCCAAAGACGCAACGAGTCCTTAAGAGATTACTTGCATCGTTTTAACAAAGAAAAGGTGTCAATCCCAAGATGTGACACACCGACAGCTGTGGAAGCATTCAGAAGAGGATTACTTGAAGACTCATACTTGTATAGGGAACTGACTAAGTTTCCATGCAAGACCTTTGAAGACGTCCAGGCCATGACGTTGCCCTTCATCCGACTTAAGGAGGATCAACAATCTCGTCTTCGTTCTGACGGATATGAGGGAGGACAACGGAAAGCAAGCACTTCCTGAAAGCACGACTACAGGACGGGAAAACCCTACGCGAAAAATGAAGATCGACCTGTTGCATCAGTGACTACTTGGCTTGATGATCCCAGCATGCCACCTTCTATTCCAACATACCGCTTCAATGTCAACACTGCTGGATTGATCAACGCCCTAGACAAATTGGGGGAGAATGTCCGATGGCCCAGGAAGTCGGAAAAGTCCAGCGGTCGACGAGATCCCAGGTGGTTCAGATTTATGTGGTTCAGATTAATGTGGACTAACATATTCTGCAGCGAAGAGACAAGCTCGAGAGTATCCCCGAGACAAGTCGTCACAGGTGTATCAAGTCGTCCGAAAGGAAGAAACCTGGAAAACTGTGCCTATCACATTCGATGAAACGGATCTGACTAGTCCAAGTGATGCCCATCATGACACCTTAGTTATTGCTCTAAGGGTGGCGAATTGTGAGGTGAGGCGAGTTTTAGTTGACAACGGTACAACCAACATCACAATGTTGAAAACACTGAAACAGATGGGATACAAAGAGGAAGACTTGGCTGTCTCCTGCTCTACCCTTGTTGGATTCAGCGGCGAGCCGAGTCAAGCAATAGGTAACGTTTCTTTACCCGTACATGCAAATGGTCTTAACTTGCAGATGAATTTCGATGTACTCCAAGATCTCCCCACTTACAACATGATTCTGGGGACGCCTTGGCTACATCAAATGGGGGCAATCCCGTCAACATACCATAAGGTGGTCAAATTTCCAACGCCATAGGGAGTCCAATCCATCCAAGGTGACAAGGCCGCTGCTAAATCATGATACGAGACCGCAATGAAGCCAACGGCCTCTGCTACGACTTCTTGCATAACAATTAAAGGGCGACT